CTTAACGCCACGAAGAGGCCTCAGCGACGTATTCCGTCAACAGCAGTGGGCGCCACGGGTGTGGAGTCTCTTGGCTGTCAGCAGCGTGTTGAAAGCGCATTATACAGCGGAGTGTCATTGAAGCGGACAATACAGGCGAATAATAGCGGTGGTGTGGAGGAGTTACAAGCGCCCCCTATCGGAGAAATTAAGAAGTATTGTAAATTTGGAGTAAGTGAGTGACGCATTCAAGCAAAAACTTCTAACTTCAACATGGAAGCATTAATAAAGTTGCAAAATGATGCAAAGAATTCCATTGAGAAGGGCAGAGTAAATTATAAAAAATCACCTAAAGAACGTCTAACACCTTCGTTCCTGGAGACCAGATTGGAAACTTTGGAACAACAATGGAAGTCTTTTGTAGAAACACATAGAAAGATAGTAGAACTTGCAAAAGATAATGAACATAGTTATTTTAAAGCAGATACATACGATAGCACCGAAGAAAGTTATATTTTATACAAATCAGAGTTGAGAGAACACATTTCAAAACTTGCAAAGCCGACTAAGGGTTCAGATAAGCAACCGGTAATAAAGATGTATAATAATGTAAAATTACCTAAAGTCGTTATTCCAATGTTTTCGGGAAAATATACAGAATGGATATCATTTCGTGATCTATTTTTATCGCTAATTCACAACAACGATGCAATTGATGATGTACAGAAGTTACATTATTTAAAAGGTCATTTGGCGGGTGAGGCAGAACAATTGTTGCGCCACACTCCAGTCACAGCTGCCAATTACCAGGAATGCTGGCAGTTGCTAACTAAGCGTTATGACAACAAGCGGTATTTGTGTAACGCTATGTTAAAGAGATTAATAAATCAATCGAATATTTTGGAATCAGCAGGCGCTATTAAGGAGCTCTTGGACACAACTGTAGACTGCATAAATGGCCTATCCACTATTGGTGTTGGCGTTGACTCTTGGGATATTATAATAATATACTTAATCAGCGAAAAATTAGATAGCGAGTCACGAAAATTATGGGAGTCAACGGTTGGTACCTGTGAGGAATTACCAACATTTGACAAATTTAAAACGTTTCTAGAGTCTCGATTTCGGTCATTAGAGTACTTGGATACACAGAGTGGTAGACAAAGGTCAAGTTACAAACCAAGAGTTCTTCATGCGGTTGCTTCCAAAAACGATACCCCTATTAAAGCAAGCTGTCCATTCTGTAAACAACCCCACAAACTTAGTCACTGTAAACAGTTTTGTAAAAATGACTATAAAACACGTAGTGATTTCGTTCGAACTAGTGGCTTATGCTTTAATTGTTTAAGGTCGAATCATTCTATTAAGTTTTGTCGTGTCCCCACCACTTGTCAGATTTGCAATCGCAAACACCACTCTTTATTACACCCTAAGGAATCCTCAGGATCAACGTCGTCTAGAGGCATTGCAGAGACGACGTCAGTAGTCAAGTCGGCAGTAGCTACATCGAGTACTACTTCCGATGCGGTGCAGGAATTAAATGCTGCCGCTATAACCACTCACTTTAGTAAGAAGGCTGTTCCAAATCAGGTCTTATTAGCAACCGCTCTTGTCGAAGCACAGACAGGCAACGGATACAACCACCTGCTGAGGGCGTTATTGGATCAAGGATCCCAGACGTCGTTCATAACCGAATCAGCAGTTCAGTTACTTGGACTCAAAAAGACACCCGCAAGAGGTGTCATTTCAGGCATAGGAGGTGATGGTGGAGCTATGGTCTCCAAGTTTATCGTTTTCGTAACTATTAAATCACGTCACGATCCTAATTTTCACATCCAAGTTCAGGCATATGTTTTGGGCAATATTACATCGTTACTTCCAGGTGATAAAGTATTAGTACCAACGTGGCATCAACTAGAAGAAATAGTTTTAGCAGATCCAGAGTACCACAATCCAAACAAACTCGATATTTTGCTTGGAGCTGAAGTTTATGGCCAGGTACTCAAAGAGGGTTTAATCAAGCACCCTCTTGGACCCTTGATAGCACAAAATACACGGTTAGGTTGGATTTTGTCTGGTCGAACACACAGAGATTCGAATTTGGATTCAGCACATTGTCACCCGGCATTGGTAAGCATGCATTCGCAGATCAGTGACAATGAAATGCTTAAAAGATTTTGGGAAATCGAATCTGACGCATACAGTAAGAAGAAAATACTTACCCAGGAAGAGCAGTTATGCGAAGACTTCTTCAAGCAAACCACTCAACGAGACAGCACTGGTCGGTATGTTGTCAGTTTACCATTTAGAGACTCAGACCCACAGTGCAAATACGGCCATACCAGAGACATTGCGCTTCGACGATTTCACCTTCTTGAACGTCGTTTTAAGAAGGATCCAGAGATGAAACAGAAGTATACTGAGGTCATTCAAGAATACCTCGACCTTGGTCATATAGAAGTAATCAATCCCGAAACGGACACTCAGAGAACGGAGGCTGTGTACTTACCTCACCACGCCGTAGTTCGGGAGGATAAAACGACGACCAAGGTCCGAGTTGTGGCGTATTGCAGAAGATTTTTTAAAATAAATAGGAAAGGACACACTTACCTGACCAGCGAGGAATTAGATGAGGCCCTGGAAATTTGTATTAGAGATTTTCAACGGCAATCATTTAGTGAAGACATAGACGATGTTAAGAGATCAGGAAGAGTTAAGACTAAAAGCAAATTAAAGGCACTATGTCCCATACTGGATTCACGAGGAATACTGCGAGTAGGAGGAAGAATAGAACATGCTCAACTCTCTGAAAGCATGAGACACCCCATTATTATTCCTCAACATAGTCACCTAGCTGGCCTGCTTGTTGATGAAGCCCATAGAAAAACACTTCATGGAGGACCCACTCTAATGTTGAATTACTTGCGCTCGAAATACTGGATAATCTCGGCAAAAGGCACAGTCAAATCATTTGCACGTAGATGTGTAACTTGTCTCCGACACTCAGCTAAATTTAAAAACCAATTCATGGGACAATTACCCTTGTGCAGAGTTACACCAGCCAGAGCATTTGTACACAGTGGAGTGGACTTCGCAGGTCCAATCAATATTAGAGTGTCCAAAGGTCGCGGCAACAAGTCCTATAAGGGATACATATCTTTGTTTGTATGTATGGTTACGAGAGCGGTGCACTTGGAGGTCGTAAGCGATCTCACGTCACAATCTTTTATTGCAGCGTTTAAAAGATTCATTGCCAGACGAGGTCACTGCAGTGACCTTTGGAGTGACAACGGAAAGAATTTTGTAGGTGCTTCCAAGGAGTTACGCTGCCTAGTAAATGCGGAACAGTCATTGGTCGCTGATGAAATTAGGGATTGGCTCAGCTCCAACAGTGTTAAGTGGCATTTTATACCACCGCACGCTCCAAATTTTGGTGGTCTTTGGGAGGCATGCATTAAATCAACTAAATATCACATGAAGAGAGTCATTGGCGACTCCACTCTCACCTACGAGGAGCTGTCTACTCTTCTGGTCCAAATTGAGGCGTGTCTCAATTCTAGACCAATTTCTCAAATTTCGCAAAATTCAGAAGACCAAATGCCCCTTACACCTGGTCACTTTTTGATAGGAGAGCCGTTGATTCTTGCACCGGATCGTAACTATGAACACTCTAATGTAGGCACACTGAAAAGATGGCAGTTGCTTCAAAAAATGACACAAGACTTCTGGCGACGTTGGTCTCAGGAATATCTGACCCAAATGTTGCACCGTTATAAGTGGTCCCAAAGGGAACCTGAACCAAAGATAGGTGATGTGGTTCTGATCAAGGAAGACAATCTGCCTCCTTGTAGGTGGTTGCTCGGTAGGGTTTTATTAAAACACCCGGGTTCGGACGGAATCACTAGAGTCGTAACTTTGAAATGCAAGGATTCTGTTTTTAAACGGCCAACAAATAAATTGTGTGTTTTGCCAATAGCAGATTGATAATCTAGTTGTAAGTTTCAGTAGTATAGCTTGTAGTCGTAAGTCTTACCACATATCCCCCTTGACCTCATGGTGGGAGGATTTCATTAGTTTTGTTTACCAATCCCCTTTACCTCATGGTGGGCGGAATCAGTTATTTTACATTATTAAGGACATAGTTTTATTAATATGTCCTTGGTGGGCGGAATGTATAAATTGAAATATGTTACATTGCTCTTCGATAGATGTCGCTGTGCCGTTTTGCTAAATCGCGTTATGGTTTCGTTACCGCAATCAACATAAATTGATTTGATTTCTTTGTATTGAACGAACATCCTTTTACCTATTGTGTGAAGTGTAACCTAGTGATAAATAAAACTAGTTGTTAAGAGTCAGTGGTTTTATTAAGGCTCCTGGGGATCCATTTGTACATGATTGTATTTTATATTCCTCAAGTATATTTAATAATACTTGACATATTATTTAATCTTTTTTAACATTGTATATAATAATTCTTGACATTGTATTTACTAATCCTTCCTGGAAATATTTGTACGCTGGAAATAGCAGAATATTATGGATGTCATATTATGTCTAACACCTGTACCTCAACAATATTCTGACAAATAAATATTGGGTCTTTACCTATGAAATGACCGTTTTGTATGCAATAAGTGAAAGTACTTATTTTTCAAACTTGTTTATTTCTGTTATTCGAAGTAATCACCCATGCAATCGACGCATCTTTGCCAACGCATTGGCAGTTTATTGATGCCCTTCTTGTAAAAATCAGCTGGACGGGAGGCAACAAACTCTTCAAAGGCATTTTGTACTGCCTCTCAGGAATTGAATATTTTACCCTTTTACCTTTTACCCTTTAGGTCATTTTAGTAAATTTGTTTTTTAGGTACGACAGCGCTGGCAACACTACTTTTTACTCTGTTTTGAATATTGGATTTGACACTTTGTTTTACGCGGGACATGAAACTTTAAAGCAATTTATGCTATGAGTTCTTATTTATGCTGTGCTTCCTGAAATTTATTTATTACCTTCAATAATGGATAACTCACAAAGTTCGGATTTTTTATCTGAAAGCACTGATATATTTTGCAACAGTCCTGATGCTGATTCTACGATTGTATCCTTTTAGAAATCTATTTTGCTAAATGAAATTACCACATATAATCATATTATTTTCTTAACTTTTACTATTTTTCGTCTCAGATGGATACTGTCACATATGAATCACTAGTATCGAATACCAAACTGGCTTTCAATAACGTTCGCAAAGAGATAGGAAGGTCTGCTTTTTCTGAATACTTTTCTAGTCTATTAAAAGATTGCAGCTCCTGTATTTCCCAGGTAACGCATTGTACAGTTTATTTCAGTTAGTTCAATTAGGTGCATTTGATGAGAATACTGGGAGGTGGCTAAAGTTATTTAAATCAAGGGCTCAACTTTCCTTTTCCGTACATCGAGTTTGGGGCTGAAATTTTTTTTCAGGATATATTACACTATTATAAGCACACACGTAAAAGTTTCAACACGCGGAGACGCGTAGTTTTTGAACAAAAAAATATTGAAAATCAATTATTTTTGCAATTCTTCTGTCAATATTACACTATTAATGACAAGCTTTACCATAGATTATATAAAATTCTCATCACGGAACGTTTCGTTTCATCTATGGTTAAGTTGTCATACGTTCCGTAACATTTTATTTTACATAAATTTAAGTAAATAATTAAATTTTGTACTCATTTCAATAGTTTTCATGCACACATATATTTAACAGTTTATATATGATAAATTATAGCATGACAGTACCTGTTAGGGCAGATAACAAATAATTTAGGTTAGGTTCAACTTATGTCACAGAACCGAATTGATTGACCCCGACTCCACGTGGTACGACTCTGTCCTACCCCTAGAGTGTTTTTATAGAACCGGAGGCGCGTAGGGAGAGCAGCCTCCGCCCGCTGTAACAAATCGCAGGCATCGGACGAGCCGGAGCGGCTGAGGCTGGTCGCCGAAGGCGACCAGCAAGCCGAAGCTGCGGAGGCGAGGACGGATGCCTACGATTTGTTACGCAAGGGCGTAGAGGCTGCATTTCCCGCAGCGCCGGAGACGTTTCAGAAAGGATTTTTAAGTTTCGTTCCATTAGTCTGCTACAGACGGTAAACACTACACATTTAATTTTTAATTTTAATAGCTTGTAATGAAAGTAATGCAGTAATTTCACATATAAAAACTTTTAAATATGTGTGCATGAAAACTATTTAAATGAGTACAAAATATAATTATTTACGTAAATTTATTTAAAATAAAATGTTCCTGAACGTATGACAACTCGTTGCAGGACGGAGTTTTACGTTTCGTTCCACAAGTCGGCTAAAGACGGTAAACACTGCACATTTTAATAGCTTGTAATGAAAATAATGCTGTAATTTAATATATATAAACTCTTAAATATATGTGTGCATGAAAACTATTTAAATGAGTACAAAATATAATTATTTACGTAAATTTATGTAAAATAAAATGTTACGGAACGTATGACAACTTAACCATACATGAAACGAAACGTTTCGTGATGAGAATTTTATATAATCTTTGGTAAAGCTTGTCATTAATTGTGTAATATTGACAGAAGAATTGCAAAAATAATTGATTTTCAATATTTTTTTGTTCAAAAATTATGCGTCTCCGCGTGTTGAAACTTTTACGTGTGTGCTTATAATATTGTAATATATCCTGAAAAAAAATTTCAGCCCCAAAATCGATGTACGGAAAAGGAAATTTTAGCCAAATCAAGTAATACTATAGATATCTGTAAGTACAGTAGCATATGCAGTTTAAGAAACAATAACAAATGCTCCAGGGAATTAAGGGTACTTGGTGACAGTTTAATTCCCTTTCTACATTTCTTAATTGTAATCTCTACTGTATTTAAATACATATTACATTAATTAATAAAACATAATTTCATTTTAGAGTTTAGATTTGATTACAACATTGCTGTCTCAAACATACATAAACATCAATAAGGTAATAGAATACATGGGTGATGCTGCATCAATGCTCCAGTTGTTATCTGCCTTGATAAAGAACATAATTCATACAATATCAATGTCATGTTGTTCTATGAAAACATTTCCAACTGTCACTGGGCAAATTGTTATGTTGGTTTTTGCCCACTGTAAAGACAGGTGAGTTTTAATTCAATAGAAGAAATGGTAAGGACATTAACTTAAAACATTACCCGGTAGTACATCAGAGTTGTGACATCTGACACATCTGTCAACACATCCGCACGGACTACTGGATTGATCCTGTTGAGTGCTCTACCCCATCACTGATTTAAAGTTAAACTGACTATACGGATGGCATAGTGGCTTAAGCAGTCACCACAAAAGACTTTACATTTCTCAAAGTTATTTACTTATTATTAAACTAGCTTAAATGAGCTTTTTTTCATACTAACCTGTTGTTACTTGGAATGAACAGTGTAACACAATAAAATATAAAACAAAAAAAAAATGTCGTGTACATGGATGCAACCAGTGTTGTACCTTATTCTAGTTTAATGTGCTCTTATCACTTTATATTCAGGGATTCTGAGCTTTAGTTGATGTATTTTCAGACTGGTGTCCATAAGCAATTAGGTCAGTATATTTGGGTGGTTTACTATTCTATCTCTGTATGCCTTAGTTTATCTAGTTATTTCCCCCATAACAGTAGGCATCTTCAGTTCATTGTGCACTTGTTTGCTAGTCACAAACCACTAGTAACAATGGTAGCATTTTTTTTATGTTGTGTGGTCTCTATGTTGGATTGTGAGACTGTTCACCATAGTTGTTTGCTGTACATCCACACTTTAACGCAATGCTTGTGTATTTGTATCATCCACATGATCAAAAAGTTAATAAGTTGAAAAATGTACATACCGAACTGATCAGTCAACATCAAATAACAATAATAACAGGGCCTGGGTAGGACTTAAACCTCTGGCTTAACAGTTAGGATCATCTACCACTGGATCCTACAGGCCACCAAAATATAATATGATACATCTTTTTTGCAGTGAATCAGTCTATGGGAATCAGTTGCAAATGGTGGAGAAGTCTATAAAAGATCTATTTAGATCTTGCCATGAACTGCAACTGACATACCTCATGGCATTGGAAAAACACTATGTTTTTGATCTCACTGAGCATGAAGAAATAGATATTCTGATTGAAGGTAACCTTTTATTCATTTATTTTAGCTTTTTATTAAATTGCATGAGAAGTCATAGTTTTTTAACAACACATAGTTTTTGTTGTTTAAATAAAATACCCTTATATAAAAGAAATTAAATGGAAGTGATGTAACAAAAAAACTAAAAAAAATGTTTCATCTATAATACACTATATGGATGTAATAGTCCGAAATAAATAAATTGAATTGAATTGAATAATGTGAATTTTCTTTGTGTTAAATTCAATTGACTTTTTGGTTTTCTTGACTGTAACTACTAATCCCTTCCACAAGCCCACCATTAAGTCCTGTATCAACCTGGATCAACAGCAGTGACCCACAACCACACCGAGTTATGACACTCGGGAAGTCCCAGGAAAATTCAACTGTCTTGAAACCCTCAATGAAAATAATCAGAAAAAAATTGGAGACATTGGATATATAATAAATCCTGGCTGTTAATAAAACATTCTAAAGAATTATTGTACAGTTCTATTCTAAGTACATAATAATATAGAAAGTATCAATGTATTCTGCCACGGTGGTGCAGTGGTAGCATATGCCTTGTTAAGCTGATATCTTGGGTTCGATTCCAGGGTCATACTAAATGTTTGTATGATCTGCAAATATTTGTTTCGAAGTTTGGGTGTTTCCTATGTAAAGTGTTTATTATTTACAAAATATTTATAAAAAAAAAGTATTCTATCAGTTAGCTATCCGGCTTTCATAGTACAAGCTCTGATTAGTTTGAAACTAGATGGCATTGTGTGTGAGATGTCTATCATCAATCTGTACTTATGCCACTATCTTTATTATTAGTTCAGCATGTGTTATAGCTACCTTATATAGTATTCCTTCCTTCTTACTTCCTTAAATATTATGTATTGTCTACCATTTTACTGTCATACACATATAATTTAAATTACTAACCAAATGTATATTTTGTTCATTTCAACAGCTTTAGGTATCAATTTAAAAATAGGTGAAATAGTACAAAGTCTTGATGTCAAAACTATGGCTGAACAGTGGAAGGCTTACACCATGATTTGTGAAAAATATTCAAGTACTCTTATGGACAAAAAAATCTATAGTGACTGCACTAAAATATTGTGTACCATGGTCACAAACACTATAAAGACAGCCTTAGAGGTATTTCATTTTTGTATCTTAATAAGGTGGCAATGTAAAAACACCAAGTCTTTTTAACTTCTTATTTACATTTATGTTAGCATCTAGTAGCATCTACTATGTTGTTTTAAACCACTGAAACAAGTTTATGTATGTCTGTTTGTGGAATCCAGAATAATAGGAATAGCTTCTAAACATATGGACTGATTTTGATTTAGTTCTTAGAAACTCTTGATCAAGAGTGTTTTTGCTATTTAAGAGAATTGGTCAAATGGAAAGTGGAAGTTGCCATAGTACATTTTTTTATGATCACAGAAGTGTTGTTTATTTTTACAGGAAAATCAAGAGCAAAAAGTGATTCTTAGATGTCTTAAAGTAAGCAGTTTTACTCTCAAAATATTACAAAGAGTGTGCATTATTTTCAAGCATGCTGTGAATAAGGACTATGACAGTATCATGGAATTGCTATTATTTGTTAACTTGTAAGTTATTTTTTTTTACATTTATGCATATAAATGCTGACACCAGCAATTTCTAATTTTATAAATGGTTTTTAGGATTGACCTAAACCTTGGGATTCTTCTCATTCAAACACACAAGCAGGCAATTTCTTTATAAGCATAGAACATACATATTTATTTAATCAGCAATCTTAAAGGCCGGCAACGCGCTTGTGAACCCTGAGTTGCAGGCGTTCCTGGGCGACGGTGGTCTCCGCCGTCTCATTCGAGGAAGTTATGCTTACGATGTTATGGCGGAACGGGACCGGGAGAGGTTTAGTACTCTCCCCGTCCGCCAGGTTCGGGAACGGGCCGAGTACCACAGACGGCTCAGGCGCTGTTGGTAGCAGAACGACCTCCGTCCGCCAGAAGCGCAGGCCTGGGGGGACAGGTGAGGCCATCTATCACCCTAGCAGAAGCAGGCCAGGGTGGCGGCACGAAGGGAACATCGGGGTACCCACACAGGAGGGGGTTATCTATAAGCCGTAGATGGCCCGAGGCACATCGGCGTATCAGGGCTTTCCTTTTTTACGTACACATGATTCCCTGGCTACTGCTATCCGATGGCGTGCGGTTTTTGTCAGTTCGAGTCCGACATAACCGGTATCCGGGGGGATGTCCGCACAGAAAAAAAGGGGATAGTAAAAATATATGATATATCTATTTCCGAAAGGTTAACGTGAATGTTTTAAATACTGAAGTGGCAAACAAGGAAAATACAACTCCGGAGTAGTTACACGAGCACATCCATACTTATATTAATTATTACGTGAAAGTGAGTTTATTTGTTACTCTTTCACGCCTTAACCACTGAACCGATTTTTAAAATTCTTTTTACCGCGATAACCGACGTACACACAGGATCATACGTATCAATAAATGGACACTTCTAGAATTATGTTCAATACTTATTCTATTAAGCCTGCAAATAACTAAAATTATTTTATTATATCAATAATAGCAGCAGATCCAAAAGGCAGGCAGGAAGTAGGAATTAACTACATTAAATTTTATACCAGGCGTTCGAAATATTAGAGCGAATTCACATTTTTTCCTTCATTAGGTATAATTTTGTGCAGTGCTTACATTCACACCTATAGCTTCCGCAGTTTGTTAAACGAAGGTAATTGGTTTTTACTCCTTGTGGTGATTCTGCTTTTAAATAGCCCTGCTTTTAAGTAGTGCCTAAATTAAAAACTATGTTTGTGCCTTTTTAATACGGAGTTTCGTCTAGGTATTTTGAGAAACGCATGTAAAGCCTACAATAATAACAAAGGCAAACAAAGCAGATTACAAACATAAATAAAACAAATAATAACAATATTTTTAGAAACTAAAACAATTATGTTCATAACGGTAGGTATTTTAGAGCAAAGCAGTGAAATTGTTTAATGCGTGAGTGAGATGCACGACTGACCAGCAGTGCAACGCATTGGCGGCCACGTGCCCCCACCCACTATCCCCTCTTCCGATGCATAGGACTTACCCCTCCGTCCCTTCCGATACCTAAAGTTGTGTTTTGCGGCGCTACTCGCGCGAACTTCGTTGGCGCAAAGTTATATAGCGCGTACTGTAAGTGCAAAGGAAAACAATGACAGGTTGATTATATGTTAATAGAGGTGTACGGCCATTTCGTGAAAAGGCTGGACATAACATGAATTTATCAATTTTACATTTTATACAACATATAAAATACTGTATAATACATTGTAGAAAAATATAACGGTTATTTACGATTTTTGTTAGAGTTTTGCTATGGTAGAAACTGTATTAGTGTTATGGAGAATTTTCTAACGGTTACAATAAAGTTGTTTTTATTTTTGTTTCAGAAATAATGAAGCTTATTTGCAAACAATAGGTGGAAAGTCTCCGCAGTTTATAAGTCTATTCAACAGCAATGTCTTATCGCCGTTGAACGTCCTGCTGGTCGAACTTTTATATGATAATAAGATGTTACAGGTTTGTACTTCGTAGTAGTTCTTCGAAAGTTATCTATTTTATACAACTAACTAAGTAGAACGAAATTTAAAACAAAATAAAAATGACTACCAATATATTCCTCGGTCTTTCACCACTGCACATCGCAATCTGTAAAAAAATATTGTCAAGGTCTCTGCATTTTAAGATTTTGTTTATGATCGTAATAATTACCCTAATTAACCTTTTTTTATCGTCGTTGTTTGTGTGATGAATGTTGATCTGTATATGTATATGCTAGGTCTCTGTACCAACTATTAAAACCACTGTCTTGCACTGGTCTCAATAGAAGAACTTCCGACCGAATTACCCTATTAATTTTTTATAATTAACTTTAAAGAAGTTGTACTTATTGCAATTATTTTATTTGTAGTTCTAATATAGATCTGCCTGATTTATGATATACCTAACTAACTTTCCTCTAGATGGATATTAGTTAGGTATCAAACACGCCATTTCACACACATTTACAAATTCTGCGTTTATAGTCTGCGTGGGAATAGAGGGAAATATTGAAACAATTAGTTTTTGTAGTTAATTGCATACAGTCATAGTAAAACGTTCTCATACAAATTATGCATTTGTTACTTGAACACCTCATTAGTGACAAAATGATGAATTATTAATTCATACGAGGACGCCATAATAATAATAATTAGAGATGCCACCAATATTCGGCAACTATTCGGTATTCGGCCAATTTTTTCCACCATTCTAATATTCCGATTTTGCCGAACTATTCGGCCGAACACCGAATCGTAAATTACGAAAAAAAGAAAGCATAATATTACAAAGATTTTTATTTTACCAAAAACTTATCATAGTTGATAGCGGGTCCTATCAACTATGATAAGTTTTTGGTAAAATAAAAATTTGGTAAAATAATCGTGCTTTTCCTTATAAATTATACCTGCTTCAGAAAATAGCCGCTCACTGTATATACTGCTTCCGGGAGATGATAAATAAATCTTAACAAATTCTGTTAGGTTAGGATATTGTTTTGCGTTTGCTGATCATTTTACTGATTCAGGTTTAAACCCGCGAAAGGTACTAAGTGTTGCCGAATATTCGGCGCTTCGGTCAAGACGCTCGCCGAATATTCGGTATTCGGGCAAATCACTATTCGTGGCATTTCTAATAATAATAATAATAACTTGACAAATCTCACACTCGTTATAGTACATACTTGTGTATTTCCAAATACACACTCATACACAGAACAAAATAATTGTGCTCGCCACAATTATTTGTCCTGGGTGGGCATCTAACTTTTTCTTTATTTTATCTGCAGTGTATATGTAACTACGACGTACATGCAATAAGGAAAGATGACAAGCTACTTGGGTTAGTAATATTAGTTATATCAACAATAAGATCATTACTACAGAAAGGGGGCGATCAACTAGCAAAGTTACAGAAACATTTGCTTATCAACGTTATTTACGGTTTCCTACCTCTTTGTAAGTATATATCGGTAAAGCTTAATAACGATATCGTTTAAGTTACTGTGTGCACACTCTTTGCTTCCGTTAGACTTGAGAGCAGAAAAACGAATAATAGTCTTTACAGTAATTATTTAAATTACTCTATTGTTTTGCTTCTTATGTGTAAACTTCGCTATCTTAAACATCAAACATTTTTTTTTACTTTTAAGAAATTGCTATTCATAATTTTAATGGAAATTCATATCTGTGAGCGTACATCATAATATGTACATTGCGAGTACTTATTTACCAAGGTGTCCGCCGCTAGTGTCCCACGCGAGCTGCCAACCTAATTGATCGAAATAACCTACATAATGTACGCCAAATTTTTTTTTTTTATTGTGAAATATTGTAGAAGTTTGTAGAACCACCTATTTGTAATAACTTCTGAATGCTATGTTTACATGCAATAAATAATGCTTACATGCAAAAATAAACAAAATCATCTGCGAAGCTTATGTTATGTGCACTTAATTATGAGAACATTTTATCATTATTATTTTATTCTACCCTCATTTACATTTTAACTATTAGTTTAATAACTTATCATCAGCTTTATTAGAATGGAAGTAACCTTCCTTTATATGTATATAAGATATAATGATAGTTTTATAAATATGGTGGAAATGAAAATTTTATTTACATGGAATTATTTTACTTTAAGGTCACATTTGGTTCAATATGGGTCTAATATTTAGATGCGAAGTGACTGATGGATACTATCAGACGTACGGTTTGTACGAACATTTGCTCACGCACACGGTCACTTTAGCGTCGATGATGATTAGTGAAGAAATTAACATTATGGAAAAGAGAATGCTCGAGGCTCTACTCGGCACTGACTGTACGAGCGCAATTTTTACTTCCAATCTTTGGGTGCTATTGGCCGGGTGAGAAGTACTTTTTTAATAATAAAAAGCTTTTTGTTTCGGTTTCGGTTGCGTTAGTGTAGATTTTGTCTAGATTGCCGAAAAGGCTTGCCGAAATTGGGTGCAAAATTCATTAAAATTCTTTACAAAGCCATTCTCTTTATATATATGTCTGGCAACATGTTTTTAGATAATTTGTGTTAGGACTACAACTCTGTGGTTGGTTTATTACAGTGACGGGATGGGTACATTACAAATGTAATGCTAATAATATTTGTTTTAGAATGTCAAGCCGGCAACTACTTTTAGCTCAAGTTGTATCGCTGAGTAAAATATACCAGAAGCTAGAAAATAACATTTTATTTTTAGATTCTCCTCAAAAAGTTAATCTGAGTCACACAATGGGAGCATTATTTGAAATAATGGCAAATGAAGATAAGAAGAAAATATATAACATGTTCAATATAAGTGATGAGAGAAACATGAACTTATGGAGCTGTTTAAAAATAAAAAACCTTCCGAGTGAAGTACAGTGTCACGCTGAAGAGAAAACTTTAGAACAATTCCAAACGCAAATACAAAAACTAGCATCTAATAAAAATATTAAAATAGATTCTGTAGTAAGCTATAATTATCTTTATTATTCTTAATCATTAACACAATCATATATCGTGAGTAAAATATTTATATAAGTCACAAGCGATTGGATGTTTCTGAAGTAAACCACCTTAATCTATTATTTTAAGTAAGTTATCTTCGTCAGAAAACTTACAATTCCACTAGCCCTTGAAAAATCTGACTAGATCGTTTAAATCGAATATTTTCCTTCTTCGCATTCCTAAAGACCAATTCTAGTAATAAAAGTTCGGTCTCAATTCAGTTCCAATCAACTTTCGATCTCACAACTGTCATAAAAGGTAATTTCGTAGTAAAGTATTGAGACCGAACTTTTATGACGGGAATGAGCCTTCTGCATTGGTTGGTACTTTCCAATGTCCTAAGACTGTGCAAATACATATTTTGATTTTTTTAGATAAAGCTGATCGTAATGGCGAGTACTTGCCCGCACACAAATCGAGATGACGCATTGGAGTTTTTTGTAATAGAAGCATGGGGCAAGGCTTGTCTAAACAAGTTGAAACTAACAATGAAAATGTTACATCAAGGAACCTTATGGTTTTACAAGTACATCGAAGCTTTAGTCGCTTTGACGGAATCTGTGGAACATATTTTTGATGGAAACAGTGTTCATGTTGTCAAGGTAAATTTTCCGTGGTTTTTATTAGATCTTAAAATCACCAATTATAGTTTATCTTTGCGATAAGAGGCCGGTTACGTAGTAGCGATGAATGCAATCCAAGTACATATTCATCTCTTTATTTATATTACAATGCGAGGCTAGCTTTACCTACCGACAGGCGCAATGTTTTTCGGCCACAAGCTCGAACTTTCTAGTTCATCCCTAGAAGCAATCCTTTTCTACCATTGCCTTTTGGCAGGTGACCCATTGGGTATATAGGCGTATGTAGTTCTTTTTTAGAAATGTAAAAAAATTGTTCATGACGAACATGTTTCTTACATAGAATTGAACATCTGCTGCTGTCGCATTAGGGAGATAAGAATGTTTGCACTCTTGTCCCATATTCATTAGAATGCAAGTATAATATAGCAAAATTGTAACAAAATTAGACCACTTCAACTAGTGACATCACTAGTTGTCTAGTGACACTATTGAAATTATCATGTTTGTTAATCTACTCGTAGTAGGTCGATTCGGATAATCCAGCTGCAAAAAACGGATTTAAATATTTCTTATTCGCAGACGTTTAATCACTATAATTGTTACAATGCTGTTACTACTACTACTATGCACTTAGCTAAATATACAATACAAACGGTCTATAAGTCCGCCGGCAGTCTCCGAAAATGACAACTCTTCAACTGAAACTATCCAGACTTAAATAGTGTATAAATACGAACGATTCAGATAAGCAAGTCTCAGAAACAGGCAGTGTTTCATGTATCCAAATTCATTCAAATTTCATCTTGGGAATGTACACAAACCCTTTTAGGTTTGGTAATTGTTCTGTTTTATTAAAATAAGCAAAAAACATGCTTTATGGCAGACTTATATGGGACTTTTGTACCGCCCTGGGAATCTCCTAGTACAACAATTGAAGTTACTACTACAAAAATACGTAAAAGGTTTGCACCTAGCATTGCTCCGGACAAAACCGCTCGTGACATTCTCTAACATCCGCTCTCGACCCGTGGTCAAACCGCTATGTCCAACTGGTTGTACCACGGGTAAGTAAAACTATCCATGGTCAAACCTGTTGTACCACGGGGAAGTAAGTTTACCCGTGGTCCAATGGGTTGGACTACGGGTAAGTGTATGTATCAGTAGTCCAATATTGGAAAGTAGGTTTACCCATGGTCCAACTAGTTGTACCACGGAAATATACCTTTATCCATGGATCAACTAACATAAAGGTAAAAAGGTTATCTATTATTGTTTTCTGAACTGAAATTGATTGGAACCTCGTTTGATATTGTCACATTAACAAAATCGGTAAAAGCAAAGAAAAGCAATGGAACATACTTAGTATTTTTTAGTGTCTACCATCGGAATAGTAGCCGGCAAAATAGGTCAAAAATATATTTCTATATTTATATGGTGAAAAACACGTATTGATTACAAAAAACAGTTGCAAGCAATTTTTCGCCTAATCAAATTTCTCAGGAAAACGTGTTTTTTTGGTGTCTTAAAATGACGCTGATTGCGAAAATAAAAAATAATATGATTCTGTGAAGTGCATCAGGGTGAACATTGCTTGCACCTACTTTCTACACTAGCCATCACAAACTTTATAGAATAGAACAAATTAAGTAAAGCAATTGTTGCCCTTATAAATTCCACATTACCTAATTTCTTTTTTTACCGGTATCGGTATCTTCATGGTATCAGTCATCATCATTCTTCTACCATGGATTTTTTACAATACACAATAGCCCCTCAGTTTGACTACGGGTCATAAATAAATTGCAGAAAGAAAAATTCTCTCAGTCTGACTATGGATAGCTTTACTTACCCGTCTTACAACCAGTTGAACATAGCGGTTGTACCACGGGTGGGGAGCGCTAACATCAATCGATCTGTTGCCATTATGGTAAACAATGGTAGGTTATTCCTAAAGGATATAAGGATACTAATCGATTTGAACAAAAATTATTAGTATATTTCATAAATAAATTGATTTAAATAATGCATTCCTTTATTACTTCGTCTAATCTATACAGATACAGTCAACGTTAATAAAGTAATGTTTGTTTTTAGCTGCTAAATACGCTAGTAAGATAATTCGTAAATATCAATTTTAACATATCGTTTTTATGTACACTTTATATTTTATGCGTGGCAAGTTTAGAAAACACTTGAACGTATAGCTATCACAGTTGTTACAATTTTTTTAGAAGAATTTATATACTTGTAGCAAAGTTCTAAAAATATAAATAATTACATGAAAATAGTGAGGATGATTCACTTTAAAAGCAGTATAAATCTCATAAGCATTCCTCTGATAGGTGTTAAGGATCTGTCGTTCTTCTTTAGTTAGAATACCTTATAATTTAGTGATTTCCAATTTTAGGTGCTTCATATTATATTCAATGTCGTACAAGAAGGATGTACAGAATTAAATTTACTACTTATTGATATTCTATGTAAATTAGCAAATTTCGTACCTAACGATATGAATAAACATACGGCGGACACAATTCTCACGCAAACTTTTGGCGCATTATTTGAAAACACAGAATGTATAGTAAAGAACAAATTATATAATACGTTACGGCAGTATGAAAATAATAGTTTGCATAGAATAGTGTATCACGCCATAAATAAAGACGAATCGCTCAAAGAAGCCTGGACTTACTTCATAAAACATGGCAAGGTGATGAAAAACGGCAACACGACGTTGAAGAAACAATTAGAGTACACGATGGATTTCAAGTATTGTCACAAATGCATTGAACAAGGTGATGATTTTAGAGATTCTGGATCAGTGTGCTTGCAACATACCTTGAGCAATAACTTTGATTTGATAGATATTGACTCACTGTTCGAACCGGAGTCTGACGCAGAGCCTGCCTGCAAGAAAGCTAAATTAAACATTAATGAACTAGAAGGGATAGTAAGAAGATTGGAGACAGACGCGTCGTTACTTTGTAGTGTAAAAGAAAATATTTTCACATCTGAATATAAAAATAGAATAAAAATTGTATGCAATAAGTTAAATAACATAATAGATTGAATTAAAATGTCTTTTATTAATGATGATGAGATTTGTAAATAAAACAAAAAATATTTCACATTTATATTTATTGTTGTGTTAATTTTTTTTTACAAATAAGTGTGAAGTATAGTAATTTAATAACCGTACTTAAAACCAGTATTACAGTTACACTGTCATAAAGGATCTTTATCAAAAAGGCTGAATATGAAACATCTAAAGAGAAATAACATTTAACTATGATGGTTTAGGGTGACAATTCGCTAAGGTTATGGCAGTGTAACCAACTGGCACACGAGAATACACTAAAATAGATTTAATTGATACTCGGAGGTAATAAGACCTTAGTTCACATGTCAAACAGTATCAACTACCATCAGTCGCACTTGAAATTTATGACTTCACCCTATAATCGAAACACTTACACCTGGTACAGTTGTACAGTACCGTAAACCGAAGTATAAATGTAAAGTGTAACACAGCAACAGTTACTAAATAAATTCTAGTTAAATATTTATGTCTAACATACATCATTCACATAGCTTATACTATTCGTTCTATTGATCTCTTTCATAATTGTGATGGCGAATATTTATATGAAAATACTTAAAATTGGCTAACTAATAATTAAAAGTAACGAATACATTGATGATATTGCCGTACATGTACATACATAAAAGGAGGACTTAGCCATTTCAATTAAGCAAAAAGCCTAAAGCGTATTATACAGCTAAAACTAAATGAATTAGAATAAGAAATAAATTATAGAAAATAATACAAGTGAGTAAACAGTACCACTGAAATAAACTTCAATGAAATTGTACGACTGGCATTATTACGTAATACTTGATGACGATACATTTCCATAGTCTTGTTCATGATAACTCTTTGTTTTTATACAATTGATGTGGAGATTAAATAATTTTTCATCTTAGATAGATATATATGTGCTCTATCCACAGTGCAGAACATATCATCTGATAACGAGAACAAGCGTACAAGACGCTTGTGACTCCGTCTACTCAATACACAAAAACCTATCATTCGTTATCAGTAGGTAAAATTGTTGTGACGGACAAATGCAATGCGATCAAATACAAATAAATAGATTACGATATAAATTTGTGCGACAGTTATTTTTCCTATTTTTATATAACACCTGTTTTGTATTGTATTGCTGCCTTGATCCAACTGGAATGATCGAGTCGGTGGACTTTGAATATAGAACACACTGCACGTAGTACCAACATACTAATATCACTCTATTACCATTTGAAAAAATTTGGTATCGTTCACAAAATCAAATCGTGTAATATTAATTTACCAACATACCACATGGTATTAGTGATTTACATTCATATTTAGGATTGATTAAAACAACCGTTTCGAAAACTTACATCGACAGTGTTTTTAAATGTACTGAGGATGTAAGTGTACACAATTAGTTATCTTTTATAGCATATAAAATATACTAAGCACCGGGTTCGAAAACAGAAAAGTAGATATTGCACAACAACTGTGACATTTTCTATAAAATGTGCAGTTTTAACAAATGGGAACATTAAGTTTTGATATTATTATCATTGAAAACATCTAGTATACATACTAAGTTATTCTATCAAGTTAGGATACAAAACTTACACATTCAAAAATACTTATTTACTTAGGCCAATCATACCTTAGTTTTAAAATAAGTGGTTAAATACATAATTAGTTTGTGGTGATACAATTTAGATTACAATGTGGCTACTTTAAACTTCCACTTAAACTAAAAGTCTTGGCACAAATAAAATATCAGACAAATATTTTGTATAATCAAATAAAATAATTAACTTTCTTGATTGAGCATGACAATAAATATTTGAAATGATTACGACAACTAAACTCCGTGAGATAACAAATGTAAAAAGTTCGTGGTTGCGCATATTATATAAACAATAAGAATAGCTTTCCATTATGTTTTAGAACAGCTTAAATTAAATCCTAACGTCTAAATACCCTCAGAACAATTAATTATGTATATAAAAATTCAGTTCTTTATTAGGATTATTTGGCATCTATCACCAACTTCGTTATTCTACTAAACATGGTATACGAAGGTGAGAATACCTATTCATAATGCGCCTCTTCAAAACAAATTCTTTGCAAAATATCGCTTCATTTGCGATATAGATCCCTGCCGAGCCTAAAGTTCCTCCTGTGACACACACGCACCTGCACGTGTCGCCGCTGCAATGACGCTCTGCACTCACCGGCACACTGCTTCCACACGCATCGCCCCTTGCATTCCAACATCACTATAAACACCTAACCATTTTGTGATATAGCCTCTAACCTCAAAACTGATATCAACTACGTTGGATTTTGTAAATCAGAAATGTTTATTCTTAATTAATATTTATACATTGTTTCCAAATGCAGTAAAGCAGAGAGCATATTTTATTTAATTGCAAGAGAAATGATGGCACGAGCCAAACCGCAGCAATAGCTAATCAGTATCGATTTTAAGCGTACGAAGCACTGATATGTTACTCATGTTATTGCCCAAATGAGATGTAGTATGATAAACAAAACGGCACAGACTTATTCCATTTCAATTTTTCTGATTAGCATTGCAAGTTAAGACCTATATAGAGGCTTATTTAATACTTGAAAAAACCGCTAAAGTTAACCTATGGCTAAATACATTTAGGAAATTGTAGACAGTCTAATTAAACTTATCCCCGATCGAGGAGTAATAGAATTACGTCTACGTCGCTCTTCATCTTCGTGTACATAAGTTGAACTCGCTTTATCTTGCAAAAATAAAATCATGACCTCTCCCAATGAGCTCAAAGTAATCATTCGATCTGTTAGTAAGTAACAGATTTTATGTAGACGGATCCGGGTATCGGAGTGTTGCTCTCCGTCAATCAATAAATAAGGGAATGTAGTATTCGGAAGATGTGTATCCTGCACATCGCTGTTAGCATTGACGCCGGACGCTAAAGTTATTCTTAAAATCACCAACTCTCTCGATTGAAGTTTCTTCTTCTACAAAGCGTACCGGAAGGCGTAGGTCGGGTCGACGGATCCATTCTAGTAGTCGAACTGGCTCCTGCATCCTCGCATCGTCAACGAGCGCGAGACGCGGTGCAGACTATACCCTTGCCCTTCCCGTTAACGCTTTGCTGCCGATCGATTTCCTGGCAACTGTCCGGTCAGGTAGCCCCAGGGCGATGAGTGGCGAGGAGCAGTGCGGCGGTGGCGCCTAGGTCGCGCGGTAGTGCTTGTGTCGCGCGTGGTGCTGGCACAGCGGCGCGGCGCGCAGGGAGGCTTGCTGCTGCGCCGCAATGCTGGCCTGGTGCGCCGCCTGCATCTGCCCCAGGCTGGTAGGAAGAGCGTGCACCTGCCCCAGGTTGGAGGGCAGTGCGTGCATCTGCCCCATGTTCGTAGGGACTGCTTGCATCTGCCCCATGTTCGTAGGGAGTGCATGCATCTGCCCCATGTTCGCGGGGAGTGCGTGCATTTGCCCTATGTTCGTGGGAAGTGCGTGCATCTGCCCCATGTTAGTGGGGAGTGCGTGCACCTGACTCACGTTCGTAGGGAGCGCATGTACCTGACCCATGGTAGATGGTAGCGCATGCATCTGCCCTATATTAGTGGGGAGCGCATGCATATGGAGATATTGCATCGATGCGCTGTTGTGCAGCATGTGTAGATCGGGCGGCATGTGGTACAGCCCTGGAGTCTGGAAAAATATTAAACGTTCGTTAGTTACTCCTAGTTCGTACTATGTAGAATGACTTGTTTCTGTTGATAACAAAACTTTTTTTTTTGAGGTAAATATGCATCGAGTATATAAAAATACAACGTAAGTATTTTATTTATTATTGAAGTCGACAAAACCATAACCAGAATGCACAATTTAGCACTTAGTTCTTAATTTTTTTTTTCAATAATGATTAAGAAGTCGAATTAAACCTGTTATTGACAAAATAAAACTTTTTAACTTATATTGTTAAACAAATTGTTATAAAATAAATAAATAAAATAAACAGTGGCAATACCAAATAATATTTGTTATCTGTTCAGTATGTATTGGTTTAGCTAACATTAAATGGTGATTATACAAGGTTACTGGGTAATTCGACCTTAATACTTTAAGGGGCTGTAGCTGCAATCATTTCTGATAGATTTCACTACGAAAAACTATATCCCAAACCTAACCACTTTCAAGGTATTGGGCTTTTAAGATTTTTTATAAAAAATGCCGACATTTTGCTTTTTTTATATAACTTATATTATTTAGTTAGGTCGACTTACCCGGTGACCCTGTATTTAGATACAGTTGCCGCATACCACTTGTAGTAATGTATGCTAGTACTTACGTGATGCGAGTGTGCGTGTCGGTGGGGCGGCAGGGAAGGCCGGGCTCAGCAGGCTGATGCCTCCTTATATTCAGAGTTGTCCATTGTGAAAAAGTCCTCGAGCTTCCATTGTAAGGTCTCAAAAGTGGGTCTCTTGAGCGGGTCCTTATTCCAACACTCGAGCATAATCTCGTACAGTGCTGCAGGACAGTTCTGTGGGCACGGCATTCGGTAGCCGTGCTCTACTTGGTGCAGTACTTCAGCGTTTGTCATGCCTGAGAACATAATAACATATAGAAGACTAAAAGTGTTTAGAAAACAATTTGTTAGTTACTTTCACGCCTTAACTGATTATTATGTAATTTAGCATACACGTTGTCGTGGGTACACTAAAGGGCATGGTGCTTTTGATCCAGAAAAAAAGTTGAGATTATTATAATCTATACGAATATTAGAAAGCTGGAGAGTTTGTTTGGTTGAACGTACTATTCCCAGCAACTACTAGTCGAATTAAAGTTTCTTTGCGTGCGACATAGCACAGCCCATTTATCGAGGAAGGTTATAGGTATCATTATGCTACAACCAACAGGAGCATCAATGAAAAATGTTGCATAAACGGAGAAAATCAATTCCTTTTAAGACAAACGAAGTTGTGCGGGTCAGCTATTTATATAATATAATAAACCGTATGTTTTAAAGAGTATTTTAGAATTATAAACTTACCCGGATAAGGTATTCGGCCGTAAGTGACAAGCTCTGTTAGTAGTATACCGAAAGACCAAACGTCAGACTTTATAGAGAACTTGCTGTAGTTAGCGGCCTCCGGGGCCGTCCATTTAATGGGGAAACGGGCTCCCACGCGCGCCTCGTATTCATCCTCCTGTTAAATATAATAACGTTGTATATAATGTTGTATAATAATACAACACGCTTAACATTCTCTTCCAATATCACCTAAAAACTAAATTTAAGCATAATATAATTAGTATTAGTAACTATTTATATTATTTATAATTTTAATGCAATAAAAAATATTTATTTTCATATAGAAAGGACGAAGCAAGCCGCATACACTGGCGATTTTAAAACATAAATGCCCATTAGAAATATATTTAATAGTCCTTAAATTTCGGCTATTAGATCAGTATACTTAAACATATATTATCGTTTGTAACCATAAAAACAGAACAAAAAACTACTTTAGGGCATTCTAATAATAAATATATTTTCTTCGTTTTCAGCGTGAAACATAAAATTGTTATTGCGAAATATATACTAACGTTACTTTACAATCATTTATAATTAATCTAATATTAACAAGTGAACGTTCTTACGTGACTGGACATGGGGGTACTTTTTTGACCTCACCTATTTTACGATTCATTGTTGTTATCAGCAAATTGCTTTTTAATTGAATGTCTTTGAATATATGCATTTATTTAAGCGGTTAAGAAAGTTAATATGTATTATACATAGAGTCAACGCGACTTAAATCATGTAAAGCATAATAGGTATATATTTTGTTGATCTTATGCTTATGTTGCTTTTTTTCTTGAATATCGCAATATTCTTCAATATTATAATAGGTCGAAACTTCTAGTACTAAAAGAAGCGCACTTCTTTTAGTACTAAAAGTTTCGACCTCATACTTTTAACTAGACTTGCAACAAATATTCGGTTACTATTCGGTATTCGGCCTATTCGGCTGCTTTTATTATATTCGGCCGAATACCGAATATCTACATATTATTCGGCCGAATACCGAATACTTAAATAATATATTTTGTCATTGAGAAATAATTGGTAAAATGAAAAATTAAAATCGATTGATTACGTATATATTCATATTTTCATTTCTGTTATAATCATTTAAGTAGTCATTGGTGCATAACACAGGTACATAATCATCTTCTGAATTGGAAACATAGAGGATTTTATGTATTTGAATTATTGTGGTAATCAAAATTTAGAAGGGTAAGGTTCTTATTTCTTTTAATATCATTTAATAATATAATCATTTATTAAGTAGTCATTGGTACATAAAACAGGTACATAATTTAATTCACGTCTGTACAAGTTTTTGGCGCTAAAATCCAGCCGAATACTTTTGCCTAATATTCGGCTATTCGGTCAGGGGCCTCGCCGAATATTCGGTATTCGGTATACTGCCGAATATACTATTCGTTGCAAGTCTACTTTTAACCATACCTACTGAATATCGTTTATTAGATATTACTCTTACAAAGTAGAAAATACTCATACTTCGAAGAAGTACAAACATTAATCATGACAAGTAATACCTAATTAAATTATGGGAATAATTTAGGTACCCAAGCTCTCTTGTTTCAAAATTTCAAAAATCGTAATGTAACTTTTGTACAGAGTTTTACTTTAATAAAAAAAGTCTAGCAAAAGTCGTACTGGAAGAAAGTTGAATTCTAAACAATACAATAACAAGACATTGGAATTAAAATGTCTTTAAAATTCTGGTGGTAATTAAGTTTAATAGAATAGCAAAATGTAAAATGTTTGGTAAAATTTCACATTATAATGATGTTTTAATTTTGGTGATCAATTACTATTTCTGGCAGCATAAAGTGTTTTTAAGTGATATTTTACTATATCTGGTGATAAGACAAACATGAACCTTAAAGTATTTCAACTTACTTTGATAAGCCTGGCAAGGCCGAAATCTGCGATCTTGACAATATTAGCATCTGCAACTAGCACATTTCTAGCCGCAAGATCTCGATGTATATAGTTTTGTGATTCGAGGTACGCCATACCAGCAGCGATTTGAGCGGCCATGTCAATCAGCTGTTGCAGTTTCAAATAGCGACCTTTACCTGCACAAAAATAAATGTGAATTTAATTTGAACCTGTTATTTAATTACTTTTATTATTTCTTCGGTGAAAAAGGTACAACAAAAATAAATAAATGTATGCAATTTCAATTGTTGTGGAGAACTTTGGGAGGATACTAAGACAACGATGATGAATTGCAATTCATTGATATTAAATTATTTCTACCCGGATTTATTGATCAAAGCTCAATTGCGAACCTTGTAAGTAATCCAATAGAGATCCATTTTTCATAAGTTCAGTGATGATGTATATTGGTTCCTCGAGAGTGCACACTGCGTACAGCTGGATGAGTTTGCTATGTCGCAGTTTCTTCATAATCTGTGCCTCGGCCAGGAAGTCCTTGGGGTCCATAGTACCGGATTTCAGTGTCTTTACGGCTACGGGTGTTGTATTGTTCCACAGTCCCTCCCACACTTCACCGAATTGCCCATGTCCTAATTTTCTTACGAATTTTAAGGACGACCGGTCGATTTCCCAATGGTCACGCGTTTTGTGAGACAAACCCTCTGTCACCGGCTTCTCAATCTGTATTAAAAAGAAACATATATTAATATTGTTGAAAATTACAAATACTGATACGGAACGAAGGATAATTTTCGCTCTTACACAATCTATTACGTGAAATATTAGATATGTCAACCTTGTTTAGTCAAATTTCCAAAAAACTTTGTCCGAGCATGTTTATGTTGCAATAGTATAAAAGTGCTTAAATTAAAAAATATAATGTATTAAATAAACGGTTAGATAAATGGACATTAGTTCATTTAATTCCTTTACGTCATGAGCCAATTGGATGATGGAAATAGACGGCACATACGTACACTTTTTTTTTATAGTTATAGCTAAGTTGGTAAATACGCATACAATCTGCTTATAGAAAAGTAAGTTATCGATTTTTTTACACAGTACAAAAATAAATAATTCATAATTTTAATTTTTTTCTCTATATGGCGGAGATGATGGTAGAGTTTAACAAATCAAGCAGTGATGCGATTATATTGACTATTAATAAGTTTTTAAACTTGTAACAATGGGTCGTAAGCGTAACAATGTCGATTGTCATAGCCTCATAATTAAAGTAGTTTCATGTAATTATTCTGATCGGAGGTTTAGCTTTGCCAGTTCTTTTCTCACAAACATTTATCTGCTATTGTGTTTTACGTAACGGAAACATATTTTTTTTGACATGGATTTCATTCGGATATTTTGTTAAAATTATTACATCCTATTTCGAATGCAACGGATGATAAGAGTAGCTAATATATTATATTAATAGGAAATGTCTGGATCTCTGATATAGTTTATACGACAGCAAAACATATATATAGAACGTGGGTTCGAGATCGGAGTAACGTATGTATTACTGTCACGGACTGAATGTGAACTTAATGGTTGCAAAAAAGTCATTTACTTTCTGAAAAGTTTTAAGGTTGTTCTACTTTCTTTGAAGGTCAACTTATTTGTAGAATTTACTTTTAACGAAGATATCCGTATGTTGTTCACTTCCGTGTGTCAGATTTACACTGAACTGCAAGAATAACTGTAAACTTGTGCTTTTGTTGAATTACAATTCAATAGGAATTCTCAGTAGATATAACATTTTAAAACAGTGTAATTTATTTAGCCTTATGAAAGCATATTTATACTTCTTTTGCAAGCATTGCTTGCAACTTATTAAAAAAAACCACAGTTTGCAAACGATGCTACTCAAACAACATCCAATATCAATAATGTATACAAACCAAACGATGACTTCGCACTATAAGGGATGGATAGGATAGCCGATCCACTGATTAGGAGTTAGCTTTAGATTAAACTGCGATGAGAAGTTACGACATTCACAAGCGTTCAGCGCAGTGTTTAAAATCAAATACCCAAGCAAAAGCTAACGAAAATAATTTTTAATTTTGCCGTTAGTTATATTTGTATAGCATCTCGCCTGGCATCTCGAACTTGGAATAGTGATGTGCTGGATCGTTAAAAATGTAGATATATCTTCGTTTACGAATATCAAGTTTTTAGACAATGCCTATATATCTGTCCTAATTATGAGAGGTTTCGATTTGCACGCATGATTATTCAAATATTTATTATTTTAACACTTATCATAAATATTTAGGATTACATCTCCTTACAAAGATTGAAAAAAAAAAGATTTAAAAAAAAGGACAAGTCCCGCAATAGGGATATCCTGTAATATATCCTGTGTCGCGGAGGACTTTACAAACATTCATTTAAACGGACACGAAAAAACACCCAGAATCAAAACAACAATTTGTGGATCGAACCCACAACACTCAGCCCAGTACGAAGCGGTGAGGTGACCCACTTAAACCACTACGCCATCCGTGCAGTCAGATCACTAAATAGTTCCTTATAATTATTCATAATATTGGTAACTTACAACTTTATACGTTTCAACAATTCCTTTTAGCCAAAAAAATTCATTTAAATGTATATATGTATTTACGCTAAAAAGGATACGGATCGTTTTTTATCCGAAAATACCTATATCCGGAACATCACTACTCTAGAATAACTCTTTTCGGAAACTGGTAATGCTTCTTTTTAATAGGTGTTCTGAAACTTTTTAGTTTTAAGATTTTTGGAAATATATTTAAAATTAAATTGTTTAATGAACAGTAAACAATTTAATTTTGAATATATTTGCAAAAAAAATCAACGTAAATTTCATTAACTTGTAGTACGTTTATATAATACCAAACGTGACCTCAGTGTTAGCTACATTTGTTGAACAAAATAAGTTTTTCTATTCATTGAGATGTTTAATTGTTAAGCAAGGTTATGCATAATTCTAAATAATAGAATAGTAAATGTACATGTATGATATACGAGACTACAAGGCGATGTCAGACAGCAAAATGTAATGCGCTCCTTACTACATAATATGGCTTTGTCATATTAAATGTATGAACAGCACATTATAGTTGCGGAAAAATAAAGGTTCTAAGGTTGATAAGTTATCTTTAGGATAATCTATAAGAATGTGCTTCATTAGTATGTTACTAAGAGGTGGTACTAAGAGAGAGAATGACTGTGGACCCATAAAAGTTGCTTAGAGACTCGATAAGTCATGGTCAAGTCAAGTCTTCTTTAGTGCATATTTTTCGGAAATTGAAAGTATTAATGCGAGGGGCCAAATTCTTCCTTTTTTTAATAAAGTATCTTTGAAAACTTAAATGAAGTAGTGTAGGGAAAATCGAGGCCCTCCATATAGCAGTAAGATACTATCGGTCTTGAATTTTAAGACAGTACTACTGGAGATGGCTTCTTATTGTTTCTGTAGCACTTGTAGTTTTTTTCAATTAGTTTATTAACACTCAACATTAAGTATTGACCATAAGTTCTAGTTGGGTATTTGGGATTAAAGAAAAGTCGATGGCTGCATAGCGATTACAGCAAGTTCTATGAAGCTTGTGAATGTAGCAGCTATAAATGTCAATTAGTAATAGCAGAAGGTATTATATAGTAGTATAGTATATTCGTGCATGTATTGTATGCTCCTTTATTTTTAATTCACACTGCGTTGTATGTTTGTAACCTGAGCTTAGTGTCCACGGAGCGCGACGGTTCGTCTGGTTCGCTGTCACGCACCACTCCGTTCACTTATACAATGCATTCTCAATAAGCCTTTAACGATTCTTTTTTTTTATTCACACTCGTTTTCAATACAGTACTGTCGGCAATGGCGCCTCACGATTCTTGGTACTCATTTCCATGTTATTTCCAACAAGAATAACTGATTTCTTCTGAGAGGATGAAATTACTCAGAGAATAAATAACAATGCTACCTATGGAGCATTGTAAAGATATGTGACAATATGTTTATACTAAGAAATTTTAGGAAACGAAGTATACCAAGACGCTATTTAATTGCAATGTAAGTTTCACGTTCCTTCGAAGTAGAGTTTTTAGTACGAAGTGAATATGGACATTAGATAATACTATAAGTTCTTACTAAAAGTTTAATTCTAGCGGTCTTTACGGCAGATGATGCTATTTTCTTATTTTAGTGGTGAATTTAAATATTGATCTATTCGATTATCCGATAATACATAGTATAGAATCCTAGATTTATTGAATTTTAATCACGAATTGTACTGCGCATGATTGTTTAAATTATCATTTTAAACCACATCGCAAATATTCTGGATTTGATAAGGAGTTAAACAGTACCATATTTTAACTATATTTTTAACGAGATATACATAATAACATAATATCATTAAGGATAAATACTATATTGTAACGAATAATGACTATATTGTACCTAATTAACAACTATGTAATATACACACAATGCAATAAAGATTTGATTTGATTTGACTTAACCAATAGATGTAACGAAAGACAATAGATGTATTAAATTTTAAACAAAGAGGCACTTTTGAGCAGTGAAGTTTTGTGATACATATGTATAATGCAATAATATACTAAAAATCAATACCTGATGATCTGTAAGTTTTTTATGTATTTACTTGTCAAAATTAATTGTTTATAATAAATGAATAATTTTTTGGTCTAATACGTTAAATAGTTTTAAATGAAACATGCAGGTGTGCCCTTGTATGAGCTCAAAAATTATTACTACTACTACTGTTACTAACGACCATCGTGATAATGTCGGGCCCATAAATTTATACTTTTAGACCGCTTAAAAATGATAATGGCGCGGCGTACCATACACATAAGAAGATAAACGTAATTCACCGTGGGAGAGCCATGTTCTGGCACATATTCGGCTCCGTACGGAGTGATCCAACGGCCTTACAGAAAGTGTTAAGCAATTCTTTCGTCTCCTGTTGACGTTATATGAGTCTCCCCCTAACTCCAAATTCTGGTCTCTTAATTGCAGGTGTCCATGAGGGGCGGTAGTCACTTACCATCAGGTGACCCGTCTGCACGTGTGCCCCCTTTTACTAAAAACAAATGTTCTGCGTAAGTTTGAGTCAATCAATTTCTTTTTACCTACATATCGGCTATTCCGCTGTCACAAGAATGTCATAATTATACCTAGTTTCAAAACTAGAACTTGACTAAAGGCGCACTTACACGAACAACACTATCACAATGACACTCATATTATGTCAAAATCGGTATTACATTTGATGCAATGAGAGAACCATACAGCGGCGTAACAAACAGACGCTTGTTTCAGATACACAGAGTACACAGTACCAAGTTGAACGTCGAAATATAAGCAAGTAGGTGATATTATGTATTTGCAGTTGATGTAATAGCTAGAAAGATAAGGTTATTGCAGAAAGTGATGTATGTTATACAATCAATCGTGAATTAACAAATAAAAGTGAAATACTATCTGAACGAACATTCGAACAAGAATGAACAAGGAGTAAAAACTGTTTCTTTTTTTACAATAAACTATTAATATTTCAAAGTTAGTAGTAGTAGTAGTTAGTCATTAGTAGAGGTTTGAGCGTTTCTTTGAAGATCTATCTATTGTTATAATTGCGATTTTTACGCTACAACTATAAGTAGGCACTTGTTGTGTCAGACACAAGGAGCGTTTGACGTAAGACGCGAATAATAATATCGTACAAAATAACCTTGTTATCGAAGTTGATTAGTTTTCTCAGAATACGATATAATAGTTGGCTCATCATAAAAAATGATTTTAAATTAAATTCTGGCGCGAGTTGCGAAGTTTACGACTTATGTGAATTGTATCTGCATGTTTAACTGAAATCAGGTTGTTGTAATATTGGTTTTAAAGTACTTCTAAACAACATGTTTCTGGGATATTATGAGTATAGATATATAGACCCATGGAAACAAAGAATTTCGTAAATGTTAGCAGCATACCGATAAGGTAGGGAGTGAAGAGGAACATTAACAATTCTTGTTACATCATTTGCGTAGGCCAAATATGTCGTTAAACGTACAATTTTGTTTGATGTTTAATAATATAAAATAAATAGGTATGTTATGTCGGCTTTGCACTCGCAGCTAGTTTGAACTCAAGTTGAATGAGGTGAGTAGGGAAACGTTTTTGATTACATATTTATGAATGCGACCGTGAACTTTCGTAACTTAGTATTGTAACTGTAATTAGAAAAAGAAACCTATGACATTAAAACACGATTTATCTCAGAATATTGCTATTATAAAAAATAGACAGCCATGACACACGTCTAGAAATCATACACCTGTAACGATCTCTAAAATGCAGCTTACGATAGCTATAAAATTACTTAATTATTTGAAACCGCGTGCGCCACTGCGCTTTACATAACTTTCTATTTTAATGCCTTTTTGTAACAGTTAGACAAGGCGAATAATACAAATCGATTGACTAGTTATATTAAATGCATGTGACTATGTGTGACGCAGCTAAAGTAAGTGGTGGTCACCTATGGTGTTCAACGTAAATGCATTGGCAAAATCGGAACAAAATGCTTATTTAGAAAAAAATAAGTCGACACAGTCGAATTGTCGGAACGAGACACTAAATGAACAATGGAGTTTGTGTTAATTGGTTATCGTCACAGCTTTATTATGTTCCTTGGATACATAATCCGTGAATAACGGTGGTTTTGGGTGTGCATACACCTACTTAGGTAGTTAAAAGCAATGCATAAAAACATATATTAAATGTTTCCTGTAACTGCATTTAAGTTACCTTTCAAGGTCGTTGTTGTCATATTTTTCACCGAGCTTTCGACGCCTTTGGCTTTTTAAATTTATCCTAAATTAATAATACTCATAGATATAGAGAGGCATTGCTAGTTTTGTTCTCGAAGTATGCAATGCACATGTGTTATGATGAAACTCTAATCATAAGCTTCACTGAATTTTATTGTTAATAAATTTTCGAAATCCAATTCTATTAAAAAACAACAAGAAATCCCAGCAGATGTAGTGCTTTACGGTATTTTCACACATTTTTATTTGAAGGTTTTTTTATGTTATAATAATTTCAGGTTAAATAACCGCCTGATCGTCAAAGTGGTATTTAATAATTTGTGACAACACCCGTTAAGGACACAACCAAATCTTTATTTTATTACATCACTTGGTCTCTTAGAATTTCCTGATATTGCACGATTGAAAATAAAATATATTGGCAAAGACCGGTTGTATTAAAAAAATGTAATTTTTTGCCCAAGTCATTGTTGTAAACTTCGGCAAACATGTACAACAAAGTATTATCGTCAGGCTGGATGTCAAGTACGTTATATTTATACAAACGTCCGTAACGAATGTGATGCCTGCTCGACCTTGGTGTTCTGCTACAAATTAGAAAATTAAACCCTTTTATATTTAATCATATATAGTGTAATTATATTCCAATAATGTTATAGGAATGGAAACCTATAACTCTGACGTAAAACAATGTAGAAAAACATTCGAAATAATTACGTGTGATCCAAAGAGTCACTAAACAAGAATCCATAAAGATTACTAATTACGTGATGGTGCACTATATCTTTTTGTATTTATAGTACAAAACTAAATGTAGGTACACGTGTAGCAATGCTATTTAGCTGTTAATATGGCGCTTAAAGTAAAATTAGCTTAGGACTACAATTAAGGGTTTAATAATTACATGTAATAAATAAAAGTATGAAAATCTAAATGGCCCGTATATGCTTGGCTTAAATAAAATTAATTTGACGATGCTCTTTGTGCAAGAAAATCAGAGTCCTTCGGTGAATTTAAAGTATCCTTGACTTCGTTCAATGCTTCGTAATATTTCTTACGGAGCACACAAAGGTTGACCGTCAAAAACCATAAATTTTATAGTTGTCCCGATATTACATTTTGAAATTTATGTGCCTCCGTTATGTTAAAGAATGCTTATTATTTACTTCGGTGACATTGGCAAGACTACGATTCCGTGAATCTATCAAATGTAAAGTTTAAACACAACATACCTAATCAATTTACGATCCACAAGGTATTAATTGATTTAAAATGAAATGGGCTGACAGAACACTCAGTCGTATCCTGAGTGGAGTAGTATATTCAGAATTTTAATAAGTTTCTTAGTAATATATTGACTATGGAAAAGATTCTTGAAGCAATTCCACAATGTGAATATATAAAATAACATTGTTAGTAGTAACGGTAGCTAGTGACGTACCTGCACACAAGGTTTGTTAAGCGAGACACAGAGTCCATCGGCATCCTTGCTGTAATGCTCAACTAGCTCTTGTAGCGTGCGGAAGGTTGTGCGTCGCGCTATGAAGAAACCGCCCTCGTCCAGCTGTCTGATGCGGTAATGCTTCACCGTATCCCCGTCTCGCACTGTGAACAACAATTATTCACACATTTGCATTTTATTGCAGTATAAATTGCGTAAAACTGGAGTACGAATGCTCCTAGTGAATTAAAGATGTTGCAAGATTGATGTAATGTAGTGATGTGAAGATTTAATTAAATAGAAAAAAATCATTGTTTTGATAAACGGTGTAATGTTCTAGGTACTTATTGTCATTGAGATCTTAAACAACACGTTTAAGTTTAGTTTAAGTAACAGTTTATTTTTTGATAAGCCTTTCCCAAGAATTTGATGAACGTAGGCAGAACTCTGTTAAGAACCTATTATAACCTGTTAAGCCTATTTATCGACTCCAAGCTCAGCTGGCAAACCCAGGTCACCAGTGTCAGCCAGAGAGTCAAAGGTATGCTACGGGCCTTCTATCAGCTTAAAAACTTCCTTTCTTCGGCGACAAAAGTGATGCTAGTACAATATGGTTTATTTATTATGGTGATGTATGCTATTATGACCTAAATGCAGATCTCCTCAATAAATATGACCGCCTTCTGAATAAGTGCACTCGATTCGTCTTTCACCTTCGCAAATACGACCATGTCCCCTCCTCTCGTCGCGAATTGAACTGGCTCACGATTCGTCAGCGCCGTCAGCTGCACGACCTCACCCCCCTCTATTCTATAATCAACTCCCCTATTTCCCCGTCCTACCTGACATCCTCATTTCAATTTCTATGTTCCAATCACAACAGAACCCTCCGTTCTTCAAACAATCCACTTCTGTTATGCCACACTCATACTTCCGCATGTTTCCACTCTTCGTTCCTAATCCAATCTGTCCTCTTCTGGAACGCTCTATCTCTGGAAATCAGAATACCACCCAGCCGCCTCTCATTTAAGACGAAAGTCCGAGCTCGACACTAGCTGATTCATCACATCCCTATAAAAGTATAATGTATGTCACTCATCAAGTATATATGTATCTCAGTATGTATGTATTTATATCTGTCACACTGTTTCTATCCATCTCCTTAATTATTGTTATCTCGTACATATAAAGTTTAATATTTAGTGCACCTACTCAGACACTTCCCCACCACTCAAAGGTAGACTGGAAGAAAATGCCTGTGGCATTAAGTCAGCCATTGTACAATGAATTGTTGTTTGTGCAAAAAGAATTAAATAAAAATTTGGAAAACAAAACACTGCGTCAAAATGTATAAAGAAATACTTAGAATTTCTAAACAAGATTTAAATACTCGTAATTTTCATATGTCACTTTGTATGTGAAAATTAAACACTCTCATAAATTAAGAGAAAGATTAATCTAACGACACCTCCCAAGCCAATATCCATCAAATGGTTTAGACGAATCCCTCCCACACATCCACTACTGTAACTCCTGTACACCAGGATCAACACGAACATGACCCACGAACTCACCGAGTTATACACTCGGGAAGTGCCAGGAAAAGTTAAACAGTCCTGAAACCCGCAAAGAAATTAATCAGAAGAAAGTCGTTTTTAGACTACAGAGCGTGAACAAATATACATACACTCAAAAAAATATCTTCTATCTTGTACATTCGGGTAAAAAGTATTGGCTTAGTTGTATGTACGTTGTGATGTTATATTCAAGTAGAAATGTTTTCTAAGACATGTAAGTAGGTAGACTCCTTATCTTTTGTAGAGAAACTTGTAACGACTGACTAATCTCAGCCACAATGTAATTAATGGCTGTTATATTCTGAGAAGCGTCGCGTTAACTTTTGACATTTCGATTCAGTTGATGAAGGCAACGAATTTCTGAGGGTCTAACACTTATTCATTCAATTCTGATAAATAAAATGTATGAACGGCGTTATTTCCATTGACTTTAAATCTTAAGTTAAGTGAAGAAGTTATTTTCGTTGGTAATAAATTAGATTTTGTAATAATTTTTGGTGATAAATTAATAATCTGCTGCAAAATGTACATATTCTTTATTACAAAACTCTTATCTCTATAAATGTGATTGGCTGAATCTACGATAAGTACGTGATCACGGAAAGAAATACAAAAACGACAACAACGAGTGCATCTTAACGTGACATGATACAATCAGGATCGTTTATCACCTATTCGGATACTCTATTCCATTAATTTTGTGATGGTCACTAAAGCCTAGTAATTTTTACTGCTTCCTACAAATAAATATTCTTTATTAACTCCGACTTATTCTCTCTTTCAACATATTACCTATTTTTTTATGTTATAGGGAGCGAACGAGAGGATCGGTTTTCATCAGGTTACCGATTGGCTCGTGTCCTCCCTATATTGTTATTGTAAGTGACTACTAGGCATGGGAAAAAATCACAGTGAACTGTTAAAGACCGGTGATTTTACATTCGATTTTTCGTAAGTAGGTTAGGGTTACTACTTACTCACGCGTTGTTGCCGATTCAGACGATGCATATTTTGGATCGCCTATTTAACAGGAAATCTGGTGTTCAATCGCAGTGTATTTTTTCCATGTATAGTGACTACCGTCGCCCATGTCACACTAGGGAACATGCACTTGACTCCAAAATGGACAAAATATTTTTATTTGTAATCTTTATTGCTAAAAAAATATACGTATAAGGATATTTTTAAATTCTAATGTAATTTTATAGTGCAATTTAATCATCAAAAGTGGCTTTTAAATTCCCTTGCAAATTTCCAAAACGTAACGCTATTGGGGAAACAAACGTGACCAATTTACACTCGATGTCTTCTGTCAACAAGTTGTTTGTATGGTTTCTGACTTTCTGGTGATTATTTGTATTCTAATAAGTTACATGTTTTCATTCATAGATAAAACTCTTATGGATAAATAACTATGTATTTTATCTTCACGAACTTTTTGTAAACTAGGTTATGTTATCGTCGAGGTTTGTTAACAAAACAAGTATGTGCAGGTAACTAAGTTAAAAATGATTTTAATTTGTGTCACTTTTTTAATATCGGTACTAATGTTAAAATGATCTTCACAACTTGGCACATACGAACGACTCATTATCTTATAATATAAATATATATATATATTTATATTATAAGATAATGAGTATATATAGTTATATAGTTGATTTTATCAGTCGCATTTTTAAGTTTCAGTAACTTTGTCAACCAAACACTTCGTTGTTGACATCAAACACGTGTAATCAGGCGTCACATAATAAGCGAGCCAAAATGACCACGTTTAAACCGCCCGAAAATAATAGTGATTTAAACATGTATTTTTTAGCTTAATGGTTTTTATTTCAGATGTGTTATATTTATTTTTGGTGAAAAGCAAACGTTTAAAAATAAAATAAAAACATGTTATTCCCAATTGTGTCGCCGCTCCTAAGACCACCTTCTAGAATAGGCGGGAAGGAGGATTTGGAACTGCGGTAACCTCACTGACTCGATTAAAAGCAAAGACGGAATTGCTAATAATACATTCCTTTTTTTCTCCATTTATAAGTAGAAAGTATGGCAAAGAAATAATCAACTAAGATGATGATACTCGTATTTGTTTCACTGGTTTCCACTTCAACGTTATAAGTATTCTTTCTGACTATCTATTTGTAATCGAGTGTACATTATACTCAATCAGTAACTTATTTTGGAAGTAATATAAGCCAAAGTTACTGCTTGTATACACAAAAGGGTGTGTGTAACAAAATGAATTAATATATAATTTAATAAAAGAGGCCACGGGAAAGGTTGCCTGGCTAGAAATTATTAGTTTCATTACCATAACACGATCTATTAGTACATACATTCTTTAGCAAATGCATGCAAAGCATTTATTATTAGTATCAGTTAATTTAAATAAAGTGCTAATTGAATTAAGTTTTGGCGATTTTGGAAAGCCAATATTTTAGGACCCGAATGGTTGGATAATATTCTCATTATAATCTCTTAATGAGTTATATTCTGTTTCCGTTATTAGTTGGATCATATCAGTAATATACTGGCTGTAGCGAAAACATTGGCGGCCTGAAAAAGAATAATCCAACAGCCACATTCATCAGTCACAATGCTTTTTTTTAGGGTAAGTCAATGCCTGTCGGACCCGTTGGTTATATTTAATAATGTTTAATTTCCTAAAATAATATAAGAAATTATTTTACTAAAAAAAAAAACCATTCTAGTTTTTTTTTAAGAAGTTTGGTTAATATTCAATATTTCAATTAAGTGGATCAAGATAGATTAAGTCAATATTATACGACGAATATTATATGCGATTAACATTTGATGAGGTCTTTTTTTCAGACCCCGGCGTGGTTTATCTCTAACCGGAGATTAACACTTATGTTTGGGGCGCCGATCCCATGGAGGTGTGAGTAGGTTTGCTGTAAAGATTAAAGCTAAAGCCTAAAGGCTTTATCTCAACCGAATAATGCACGCTGAATTTTTTAATAACTCTTTACTTCAAAATATTTATAAATTAAGATAGATAGTTGATTCAGTCTGAGAAAAAAACTGTGAAAATCAAGGAAAACCAATAGCACATCTTTTTATGTTTAAATTATTTCATAATCATCATCAACAGCCTCAAATAGTCCACTGCTGGACATAGGCCTCTCCTTAGAAAGGAGGTATTGGCCTACTATACTACACTGGCCAGACGGGCTGGTATAGGGTTTGTGTCAAGTTTTCCTTTTCTTTGCAGTGCTGTTGTCCTGCGTAGTTTGCTCTCTTAGTCGGCTCTTACGACACCCACGGAATGAAATTATTTATATAGTTTAAAAAATCACACTACAGTTTTTCAATATTTTAAAGAAATCGTTGCAGAAATACCAACAGACTGAGGCTATAAGTCTATTTAATAAAACCTATGTTTTATTAGGCTAATTATATTTCTTATATACCATTTTTAATTTTGACTGCACGGGCGTAGTAGTTTAAGCGCTCGCCTAGAGCTTCCTACTACGCTGGTTGGTGTGGGTTCGATCCCTATATGGGACGAAACTTTGTGTGATCCACAAATTGTCGTTCTGAGTCTGGGTGTTCTATGTGTCCGT